TATGCTTGTGTAATTATAGAAATAAAGAAATGGGTGACAGGCTGAACCTCACCTATGAATGTACAGTATGTGGATTTGTGAAACTGACTGTAGGAAGTCAAAAACTTATACTGTATCTTGTGTTTACAGTTCTGATTTATTCCTTTGAAAAGCCTGCTGTTTTGGAAATGCACAGCTGACATGTTGAAATATAAATAAATACCATTTTTAAATGTTTCTTAAATGATAAAGATGTGACCAAACAGAAGTCCTTTACTCTGTAATCAATGAGACCAAATTCAACATGCCTTTGTTATGGAACATTTACTGTGACAGCAGAATCTATAATGCAGTCATTCCCAGCCTTGTGAGCTGACACCTTCATGGGTTTGTGGACTTTGTGACTTTTTCTTCCTGTCCCCAAAGTGCCATATGCTACCTTAAAAAATATTAAAGTGAATTCAAATTAAATTCTGATTTGAGATTTTGTAACCCCTCTTGAGATCCCTCAGCACACGCAGGGGTGTCACAGAGCCCAGGCTGGTAATCACTGCCTTAATGACTTACTTCCTACTCTTTCTCCTGTGGTTGTAGAAACAGTAAATTACCCAAGTTCTGAGCTTGTGTGGATCCAAAGCGGTTAATTGCTAATTATTAAACTAGTCCTCAAGTCTTAGGAATAGATTATAATACATACATTGTCCAGCAGGCAGTAAACCTCATGAAAAGCGTTAAGGAATTCACAGGAAGAGCAACGCTGCTTTACTGGCTTATTATTCTTGCCATGGGTCACATGAAGTGGATAGTTGGCTAATAGCTTCCCTCTAATTGGCAATTCCTTCCAGTACTGCTGAGGTACTGAGACCATTACTTAGGCAATATTGCTCTCCACGATTTGGAGTTAAGCAGGGAATCTAGGAAAAGGGAACCACATCCGTGGATATTGGGTGCTTGTAGTGTGCTGAGATTATCATTTTGCCCTTAACAAAAACTGGAGGTGTTCCTATCACTATCCCCATTTTAAACAAGAGAATTCTGAAGCTAACAGTTTAAGTTATGAGATCAAGGTCACAAAGCCAAGATTCAAACTCAAATCTTCCTAATGTCAAAGCCCTAGTCCGCTAAGCACCTTGCCCCACCCCAGGAGGCAGGGAGGCCATTCCCTGGATCTGTTGTGGCAGAGGAAGCCATAAAGCAGCCCAGCCTGAACCATTACCATACATGCCTGATACGTGTATATGTGTGGTTGTATTTCCATTTAGGATTTCTAGATATTCCTAGATTTCTAGAAATCCTTCAAATTCCTGATGCTTTGTGAAATGTAGGTACGCCAGACCCTTTACACTCTGCCAGTGAGTTGGCTGGACTGATAACTCTGCACAGGAAGCCCAGAGGTTGGTAGGGACTCTGGCCAGGGCCATGGGAATCAGGAAGGGAAAGCAGACACACCCACAGCTCTGTAACCAAGGCGATGGCATCGTAGAATAGCACTGTCCAGTAGGACTTACTGGGAAGATGGGAAGTTCTCGATTTACACTGTCCAGTATGGTAACCATAAGCCATACGTGGCTATTAAACAACTGACGTGGCTAATTTCCTGGGGAATTAGGTTTCTAATTTTAAATAGCCACACGTGGCTCAAGACTACCATATTGGACAGCATGGGTATAAAGGAAGAGATCACCTTTGGGAGATCTCTGGGCCTGTTTCCTCAGCTTCAGTGTGAGAGGTTAGAGCTTAAGATTATGTTAATTCTGTGAAAATGAGGGTATGCTTTGACAGTGACTATACGGAAGAAAGAGGTGATTTTCCATTTGGAAGTTCTTCAGCCCTTTGGAGCATGGAGACAAGACAAAGGCTACTTTTGAAGCCCCAAACCACTCCTGGGCTTGTTTAGCAAAGCCTTGAGAATATCTGGCTTAAGGATTCCAAGCCATGGAGCAGCTGGGAGAGAGGCTGGTGCCTAGGTGAAAGGGGGAGTGGTTTGTCAGATCTCAGAAAGTAGTCTACATTATGCCAGGACAAACTGTGGCTTTTTATAAGGCAGTAACTGGAAACTTGCTGATGTCTAACATGGGGGGAAAGTGAGCCAGTCCAGCTAAGTGCCAGTCCAGCTGGGTACCTAACTCTCAACCAGCTGCCATCTGTTTCAGGCAGCTAATATAGGACCACTTGTCCCCCACTGTGGCTCCAGGAAAGTCCCAGTTTTCAGATGGCAACCCAAGGACCTTACAACGTTGGGGTTAGGAGTGTGCACTCTGGAGTCACACTGTTTGCATTTGAGTTCCAGCTCTGCCAGTGAGAACTTACACACACATATAACATCGCTGGGCCTCAGGACCCACCTCTGTAGAACGGAAGTGATTATAGTAGGTATGTTACAGGTTGATGTTTAAAATGAGTTATCTGAGACACAGTGTGTGCTCCATAAATACTGCCATTGTTGTGTAGCAAAGCACTCGGGGCAGGAGGAGTGCTGTCTCATTTCCCCAACCAGGGTCTAGTTCTGTTCTTTTATTGCCATTTAAATCTGTAATCATATTCCATTCTCCCAATGTACAGTGCCATACTATACATATTTACCTATGTCTAGTAAGCTGTACAGTAGGCATTCAATTCCAACATGCATTGTAAACATTAAGTGGTTGGGGATATGAGTTAGTTAAGAGATAAAATTAGACAAAACATAAGTGGAGGAAGATGGAAAAAAAATGATGACGATGACAATTCCATAAAGTGCAAAAGTCTGCTGAGAGAGGTTATAAATTCCATAATTTTCATTTTTCTTTTTCTTCTTAGAGGTGTCAACAAAAGTAAACAATTTTATAATCATTTAACAAATTATATACCACACTCTCTCCAATTGTCAGCGCAGAATGCCATTCTTCTAAATTGTACACGTATATTTGAAAAAGGTCAGGATTTTTTTTGTTTCTTGAAAAGATCAGTGGCATCTTAGAAAAATAACATGTAGACCAGTGCTACTCAAAGTGTGCTCAAGGACTGGTGCTGTCAAACTACTGCTGGTATGTGACAACATAGAAATCAGACGTTTCAAAATATGTATGGCAAGTTGACATTGTCATGACATGATCATCGTGCTTATATTCTGTATGTCTCTTCTTTTAAAGATTATTTCATTTTTCTAATAATTTAGTGTATCTTACAAAAGTATTACTTGTGATGAACTAGAGGGAAACTGGTCCATCACCCCAGATAATCTGAGAAGCACTGACGAGAGCCACAGACTACAGTGTCCATTGCTGCGGGGCACAAATGACTGGTATGTGTATAACATCAGCAGATGTAGTCACCTCTTGAATGCATTATCCATGGGGTCATTTCCTTAACTTTCAAAAGGAAGTAGAATATGAGCCCTGGAAGCAGACATACGGGGGCTCGAATTCTGATTCTACCACTTGAGCTATATGTGTCCTTCAGTAACTTTCTCCTATCTTCTCTGGGTCTTTCCTCATCTGTAAAATGAAAATACCAAAACATGTCACAGAGTGACCATGAGGTGCAAATTAAGAGGTATCAAAGGCACCTCATGTAGTGCCTGATGGATCTCTAATCAATGTTGGTATTCTTCTCCTTTTCTTTTCAATCGGTCTTTTTTGGAAAAAGGACCAAATCTAAAAAAAAACTTATCCCTCAAATTATTTAAATAATAAAGAGAAGCTGCCCACTAACTGCATCTTCCAAGATTTATCGTAGATAAATATAGTATTCATTTCAAATCTCTGGTGACTTATTAAGATTTCACGTTCAGGGATCATAACAAAAAAATACAGTTACTTTTAAAAGATAATCCAACTCCTAGGCCAGAGAAAGACTAAAGATTTTAACGTATCTGAGTAAAACTATGCCTATCAGAGGGGGTGGAATGTTGGTCAATAATGATTAGAAAAACAGCAGTCACAGAGAGGAAAAAGTTGGCAGGACCTGCATAAAGGAAGGGGTGGTCTTTGTCAACAGACCTGGTATCTCATCCCATTAACAAGGCTAGCCCCATTGGGGTAGGGGGTGGCATCTGCATTAAACTCTTTGGCCTCATGACATTAACCATGTGAATTATATAACAAGCTCCCTTTGTTTTGTTTCAGTTTACCAAGTAGCCTCCTTATTATAATTTGACCCCTTGTAACTGTCTTCTGAGAGAGAATCTGCTGGTCATATCAATTCAAGTGTTTTTATCCTTATGCTAGTTATATTTTTGGTTCTGAATCACTACCTGTACCAACTATATGAATTGGCTAACAGGAGACAAGTCTTATGGTGTAATAACAAAAAGCAGGGTTCTGAGTCAATAAGGCTAACAGTTACACCCAAATAGTTCACTCTTCAATGTCATGCCACCCAGCAGGCTCTCTCAGAAGGCAGCTTGCTCCTGTTGTCACCTGAAAGTACCTCTCTGTCTTCCCGCAGGTGTCTTCAAACTTCCACGGCCATTATGTTGTCTGTCTTGCTTTCAGTTGGACAAGAAAATTTAATTTATAAAATTGTACATCTCTAACTCTGGGGAACAGTCACAAACAGAATAATGTAAGAGAGCATTTGTTTAGTTGGCATCACTTCAGGATCGTAATTCCTCCACATATTTAGATATTTTTATGTAATCCATCATCTATTCCAAACCCTCTTAATATCTGAAATTTCCAGATCTTTTTAAAAAAGTCATAAATTGAAATATTGTCCTTCATGTCAGATGGACATTCCCCTGTAATTCAGCCCTAAGTATTACTGGCAAACCATACAACTAATTCACAAAGCATTTTTTTGTGATATGTAAAATGTGTTTTAAAACTTTTTAAAAGTAACACTTGAATGATACAATTGTTTAAGCATAGCCACCTACACTGTATCTCACACACACATCTGGTGTCAAACAGTCCAACTTGCTAACAACAGTAAGCTTTGTAGGCATGAAACATAAGCAATAACATAACAAAGGGATCTGTTAGGCTCCATAATTATACACCTATGGTGTGTGAAGCACAAAGTCAACTTCCAACCACCTGTGAAGGGCAGAGCCATTTTATTTAGTGGTCGTTTAAACTGTTCAAAGGACTTTAAAAAGGGAGGAGGAGAGGAGAGAGGAGGTGAGGGAGAAAGAGAAGAGAAGGGAGGAAAGAAAGGAGGGACACATTTCTTACAAGAGTTATCTGTACATTGCTTGATGGGGATTAGAATTGTGATCAGTACTATAATATACCCCCAAATCAAATGAAAACAACATAAATACACTAAAAATATCACAAGTAATGCTTTTAATTGTTTAGCTTCTCACAGTAGTCACAAAGCAGAAACTGACAAACCTATGATTTCTTCTAAAAATAAACATGGAAAACAATATCCTGGAGGACTGCTGTTGTTGTTCTCTCTTTGGCTGTTCTTATTGTGATGGTTACACCTGGCTAGCTGCCCATGAAGAGCTGCTTCCTTCCCTCGGCAGTACCTCTTCCCCCTGGCCCAGTGGCTGTCCTGGCTGGGACATACCTGGCAGCCCCAGCAGATTGTTTATGTGTTATTTACTCATACGCATATGTTGTACTACACAAACTGCCTCTTAGGAGACGAACTTGGTGAGCACAGGCACTGATACATCTGATACATTTATATCACCAATAAATATAATTATAAAAAACCAGATTAAACCATAAGAAAAATGTTCAAACTTCTATTTACTCATAAAATAGTTACCATAAATCTGAATGGGAAATACATCCTTTGGTTCTTTAAAAATCCAAGTCTATATAAAGGCAGATTAACTTTAGTGGATATTACAGAAAAAGTTCCTAGTATGAAAAGATGTCTGGCAAAAACAGACCTGTAAATACTTCAAAGAGGAACTATCATTTGAAAATCAATCTAGAAAGTTCCAGATGGATAGTCATGCTCTTTTTTCATGATTTAGAAAAACTACTAAATTTGGCTCAGGAAAGCAGCAGTGCCAAAATTCTGTCTGTCCTTCCCCCGTAACCCTTGTCCTGATAAAAAGATTTTTATGATCCCATCACAGGAAAAAAAGCCTGATTTTGATTCTCAGAATCAACTAAGCAACATCTTAACCCTGAGATTGTCTTGCCATGTTCAAATCTTTTCTCAGATCTATGTTTTGGCCTTCTTTCCTCAGGGTCAAAGCTCACAGCCCCTCATTGCACTCTGGAGTTTAATCATGACTCAAGAAAAAAATTGTTTTGTAAGAAACTGTTATAAACACATATAGTTAAACAATTTTTTAAATGGATCAGTCAATTCAAAATGTCACAAGAAGTTAAATGCCTTCAATTTCAAAATACCAAAAAAAAAAAAGTAATCATAGTATCTAATCCTTATGTATGTATATAAAAATCTTATGTATAAAAAACTTTAAAATGTCTTAAGAAACATTTCCCTTTATCACAGTTAAATAGCAAGTTGGCCATTATTGAAAAATAAAAAGTAAAGCCACCAACATTGTGAGGCCCATGGCTTTGGAAGATGGCTTCTAAGCTTGCACCTGAAGATCTTATCTACCTGAGTCAAAGGATACACCAGGGCTGGATTTCTACCAGTGCTGCATCTCAGTGTGGTCTTGCACAAGTTGTTTAACCTCTCCAGAGCTCAATTCCACCGCCATTAGCACTTTCCAAACATGTGTTCCACGGAATATTAATCTCATGAAAAAGAGTTCTGTGGTCAAATTAAGCAAGAAACTGCAGCACACACTTTCTCCTCTTTGGGAGATTCACAGTGCACATGAGCATTATGAATGACTCTGAGAGGTACATTAGTTTAACTTTATATCAATCTTAGCTGACCTCAGAATACCTTTACTGACCAACACTCGGTAGTATCCTGTGAGCTGTACTTTGGAAAACACTGGTCCAGCATGTCTCAGGTCTCTTTTAAGACTTATACTGATGAAATATAGGAAGAGTATTGCAGAGTCTTCTGACACAGGTTCAGGGGATTAAGAGCGGATTTAGGGCCCTGGTGTTGACAAAGCACCTGTTCACGCTTATTAGCCCCTTGAAGAACAATGCCATTCCCCTGTTCCTAATGAAAGCCTTCATTCAAGGAAGGTGGTAGTGGCTGTCACAGAATCTTGGTATCCACCTACAGTACAGTAAATAGCAGAACTCACCAAGAATGTTAAGTTATCTTCAAAATGGGTTAGTTTTCCTTTCCAGAATGACTTGTTTTTCTCCACAGCAAATGTTTTTGCCACTGTTCACTAGAACAGTTCTGCCTAACTTTAATAGAATCCCTACCCTTTGCCCACTTCCTTGTCCAGAATGAAGTCAACTTGAAGGTCGCATGTCAGGCAGTACTTGGGTTAAAGAGCTGCTCTTCCAAGAAGGCACCCCCAAGGCCATACTGCTCTTCATGCAGACTGATTTCTTCAGGTGACAAGTGGCTTCCTCCAAGAACAAAGTCTGCAAATCTAATAAGTTTTTTGTTTTAAATAAAGTTAATGTTATCTCAGGAAGGTTTATTTGAAAGATAACATGTTCCCTTGCTATTTATCCCCTTTAATTAAATTTGACTTTGCATCAATAGAGGGTGGTATTTACCCAGTGGGTGTAAAATGGGAATGGCTTATGTGATCCCTCTAAAGACAGCTATTCATGGAAAGGACAGAGAAGCAGGGCAGATGTATAAGCATTACGTGAGCCAAATGTACCCACTCCTGTTTTCTGATTCCTTCTTGTCTCAATTTTTTATTAGTTTGAATTTATTATTATTCATTATTTTGTGTCAAATGCTTTCCCCCTTCCATCTTTAATTTGAGGGCACTGTTATTTGGATAAAGTCATGAGGAAGAGAAAGCAATAAGGAAAAATATTGGGACAGACGTCTTTCTTAGTGAACTTTAAAAATGATTTTCCAGCTGGGCGTGGTGGCTCACGCCTGTAATCTCAGCACTCTGGGAGGCCAAGGCAGATGGATCACAAGGTCAGGAGTTAAGAGACCAGCCTGACCAACATGGTGAAACCCCATCTCTACTGAAAATACAAAAATTAGCCGGGCATGGTGGCGGGCGCCTTGTAATCCCAGCTACTCAGAAGGCTGAGGCAGGAGAATGGCATGAACCCGGGAGGCAGAGGTTGCAGTGAGCTGAGATAGCACCATTGCACTCCAGCCTGGGCGAAAGAGCAAGACTCCGTCTAAAGAAAAAAACAAAACAAAACAAAACAAAAAAAAGATGTTCCCCACCAGTAGGATGAGAAGCAGGTCACTCATCCTATTCCACCTTCCCTTCCCTATAAACATAAGGAAGTTATGTTTATAGCCTTCCCTATAAAACATCAGATAAATATTTATTCTGACATCAGCAGTTCTACTGTGCAAAGTCACAGCACTGAGAAAAGGGACCTCTGACAACTTCCACATCATCTGTTATCCAAGGAAGTAGTCTATTTTCACCCGGAAGTGCCTGTACCAAACCATCATATTATTTTTAAAATCATTCTCAACTAAACTATGGTCCGAGCAGCAGAGTAGGACTTACTTTCTAGGAGCGTGGAGTCTGGAGACCACCAGCCACGAGGGGAAGTCGGGTTTTCGGCAGGTCCGGCGCAGCTCCTCCAGAGCGCTGTTCGTTTCAGCATCAGCTTGCTCCCTATACTCATCTTCTGTAAGATACTTCACCACCAGCTCTTTCGATGTAAACCACTGCTTTATTTTCCTAAAATGTGGCATGTGGTTGCAGGATTACTGCCTAATTCAATCCTTAAGATTTACAAAAATACATTTCTTAGATTGTAACAGTAATAATACTTCTTAACTTCCTCCATATTTGAGAATTAATTTCTGATACAGATGTTAATTGTATTTTTCTTCCTCGGTGATTTCTAATCACACAGGCAATTAAAAGCCTGTTTTTTTTTTTTTTTTTTTTTAATGCTTGGCCTGTTTATTAGGCACTAACAGAAGCAAGCTTTTGAGATGTCCTTTTATGCAGACCCTCTAGAACATTGACCATTTACTCTCCACACCAAGAACCTGGGAGGATTTGTGGGATATCACTTCCACCTAGTGGTGGTGATTCTGACTAATCCTAGAGAGAAAGAGCAAATATTGTACAAAATTTATAGTAATTCTTCCTTTATTACATGACAAGCAGATCATGAGTAGAACTTTCTTTTTCCAACCAAGAAAATCCTAAATCTCATAAAATGTAGGGACCTAAAAATTTAGGAATCTAAGAATCTCATAAAAATAGTAACAATAATAAGGTTTTAAAAACTTTTATTTATTTATTTTATTTTATTTTATTTTTTTGAGACAGAGTCTCACTCTGTCACTCAGGCTGGAGTGCCATGGCGTAATCTAGGCTCACTGCAACCTCTGCCTCTGGGATTCGAGCAATTCTCCTGCCTCACCCTCCTGAGTAGCTGGGATTACAGACGCATGCCACCACACCCGGCTAATTTTTGTATTTTTTAGTAGAGACGGGGTTTCACCATGTTGGTTAGGCTGGTCTCAAACTCTTGACCTCATGATCCACCCACCTTGGCCTCCCAAAGTGCTGGGATTACAGGCGTGAGCCACCGTGCCCGGCCTAAAGCATTTGTTTTATTTATAATGAGTTTTAAAAAATATTTTGGGGTGATTTTAAATTTAACCTGAGATTTCCAAATATAAATGAACATCAGAATTATTTGAATATTATATTTATATAACATATATTTCTCTCTATATATATTTTTTTTCTTGAGGGTTGGGACTGAATAAATCTGTTATCTTTTAAAGATCTCACAGTTGATGAGCTAGATCAAGGAACCAGTAACATAATTTCCTTCTCCTGTTCTGAATACCTGTGCATGGTTTCCCTGGAGGAAAAACCCTGGATGCTGAGCCAGAAGACCTGGACACAGTCCTGGCTTTGAGGTTTATTCACTATACGAACTTGGGGAATTCCTTAACAGTTCAGAGCCTCACTTTGGTCATACGAAAAAAATAAAAATAAAAGCAATAATATCTACTTCATTTACTTCATAGGTCACTGTACAGATTAAATGGGATATTTTGTGTAGGGTGCTTAGCACTGTAAGTGGCCTATAGTAGGTGTTCAATAAGGATAATCAAAAGAGTAGTTACCATATACTATTAAAAGTAAACAGCTCTTTGCAGCGAGAAAGTAGTATACAAAATCAAGGTATTATTTCTCTGTTGTGTTATTTAACCTGTAAGTTCCTGTTTCATTCCCTAGTTCTTTATATAACTACTCACTAGCAAAATTTTAAATTGAGGAAGTTATAGTACATTTTGATTATTATAGAACACAGCTAGTGCACAAAAGAACCATTGTGCAGAATACACTTTGCTCTTGGCAGGGAGTTGGAGGGTTAAAGAGAAGGAAGAAGGAACTTTATCCTGAGTTCCTCAGGCCACAAGCCTGGCAAAGGGCCAGGGACCTGGAAGATGTTGGGGGGCCAGCCTTACTGACAGAAGACTGGTGTTCCCATTCACTGTCTGCCTCGGGCAGATGGGGCAAAGAGAGACCCAGTCAGCATCAACCCTCCAACTCTGCCCTGCTGCCTTTCAGCCCCACCAGCATCTTCTGTGTGGGCTCCCTGTCCTGTCACTGGTGCAATTTTAACCCTGTGATATTGCCACACGCACACACAGTCACCAGTTCCATAAACTACCAGTCACCATAGTGTCCTTCCTCACAGCTAATTTTACCTCTTGAACATTTATTCCCTCCCTCTTCTAGCCTTGGTCTCATGGTCCTACCCTAGGCCCTCATCATCTCTCGCCTGGACCACTGTGATGTCTGATAACTGTTCTCCTGCCACAGGGACCTCCCCTTTGTATCCACCTGCTGTGCCAGAAGACAGATGGGCCACATCCCACGGGCCAATGAGTATTTATGGTCTCTGCTGTGATTTTTGTTTGTCCAATGTATTTTTATTTTTAATTATTTTTATTTTTAAATGCCAACATTTTTAAATGCTAAGATTTCACATTCTAATCGTAATTCCCACTTCCAATTTTTCTAGAAAACCAGCAGATCTGGCAATACAGGACTCACATTCCCACACGAGAGCAATCAGCTCAAGCTGAGTGTTAACTGCCCCGTTTTCAATGAGGTTGCTTTGCAGAATTTCCCACACTCCTCCTGGTTACTGCTGCCTTACCCCTGCTCAGCATCACTCACCATAGTATCTGCCTGGGTCCTAAGCAACTGGTTTGATAACTGCTATACAGGCAACAGTCAGAGGACTAACTAAAATGTCTCACGGTTAAACCCCACTGTGTACAGGACTGGACTAGATTGCTTAGCGTGGCTGCCATGCATCTGGCCCATGCCCACCTTGTTTGCTGCACTGACAACACTGCGTGCCTCCTGATGGTACCAAACTGGGCTTTCTATCAGGAAAGCCCTCCGTGTTTATTCATCTGGTTATTTTAATTCATTCTTTAAGATTCAGCATAGTAATATCTCCTCCAGAAAAGCTCCCCTGGCTTTCTCTATATACCCTTGGTCCCTGGGCAAGTCTCTATTTTAATACTTAAAAGAGATAGAAATGTATGCTGATGTCTAGCAAGTATACCTCAAGGGCAAGAACCATCCCCATCTGTGCACCTGACGTGAAAACAGCTGCTCAGACTCAATGACTGAGGAGAAACATAACAAAGCTGTGACAATAGAGGTTACTTCATTTTTCTTTTTATACTTCAAAGGCCGTAAGCCTTAACTTAAAACCTAAGAGAAAAGAAAGTTCTAAATGCAAATAATACCTTTCAATCATTTATGATTCATTTCTGTTTCCTAATTTGTATCTCATAAGGACAGCTGATACCACTAAAGTAGTCTTTGGCTCTAATTAAAGAAAATGTTGAATAAAAGAAGATATTTTAGGTAACCCAGAGTCCAAGTACTTCTGTCACTGACTCTAGTGAATTCTGAGTGAGCTTAATTACCTGGTAATTGGTGGTACAGCTCTGAACGATTAATGAAGACTAGCCATGAAGATAGGATCAGACGCTTGGAGCTCTCTTCCCCCTCCACCCCCAATCTTGCTCAGAATGAAATCTCCAGATCAAATGTAATTTTGAGATTAACATGATGTGTGCAAAAACTCTCCCAAATAATAAAACCAGAGCTCAAAATGTCAAATTTGCTGGGGGGAAAAATAATACATACCACCTCATATAACTGAATGCTCTCAGTGGGTAGTGCAGACTCCAGGAGGACATGAGGAGGATTATGGCTGCATAGGCAAACTGAGGCACGGCCACACCAGCATAGACCAGAACCAGGGAGAGTAGTCGTAGTGTCCACATCAGAAGACTTCTGCTCCTGTCATCTGCAAGGGGCCCATGCTTGTAACAAACAACAAAGCTGAAAAATCCAACTATCAAGACATAGCCTGGAAAAGTGGAAGAGGTAAAATAATACAAATTTGAATTTGAGGCATTATGTGAAAAAGCTGGCAGAGCCTTGACTTAAAGGTAAAAACTATTAGAGAACTTTAATTTTTGTTTTTTTTTTTTCCCCACAAAGTAAGGTTGAAAAATGTACATAGGGTGTTATTCCTTCCATATGAGATACTAGGCTGACTTTCGCAATAATTTGGGATGTACACTCATTATGATGATGATATATAAGTATGTCTGTATTTTAGTCCAGCACCTTCGCTGGATTAAAATGTTATCATGGTTACTTTGGCCAGGAAGAAGTCATAGTTGTATGTGACCATTGGCTACAAACCCTATTTTTTATTTTACCTTCTAGTCATAAAAGGAAAAGGTAATTTTACAGTGGAGGGAGTCATCCTCTGAATCCAAATGTTCAGTCTCATCATTACGATGGTGAGACTATAAGCTATGCTGTGTCTCTGGGTATGATCCAAGGTGAAGTGCCCATCACCTCTTAGGTATTCTGTCTTAAGTGTTTAATTTATATCTAACCAAGCCTTGAGGTCTAATTTCCAGTTTACAGAAAATACGCAGAAGAGAAGAACATGTTAAATTCTACCATAAAGGGGTCATCAGATAAATATAAAAGGTAGACATTCTATAGGACAAGCTTGGTCTCTTTAGCATATCACTATGATGAAAAAAAAAACTGCTGTGGATTAAAAGCAATTTACAGAACAAAACAGATACTAAATGTGGTTCTGGACCATATCCTAGTTTATATAAGCCATCAAGAATGGGAAATTTTATCATGGCCTGGGTAATAGATGATTTTATGTAATTATTTTTCAGATAATAATTAACAGATTATATAGGAAAAGGCTCTTGTTTTTTAGAGATGAATAGTGCAGTATTCAGGGGAGCATACCATGATATCTGTAATTTAAAAGAAGCACAAAAAGAAGAATGAGCTAAAAAATACACAGTTTTCAAGTAAAACAAAAAACTTAATTGCTTTTCTTTTGAGGGAAGTGAACTTATGTGAGAAATTTGGTGCTAAAGGTACGGAGAAAATTCATTCTCTCATTGTCCATTATTTTCTCGTTAAAATAAACAATAAAAACATTTATTTTGTAACGAAAAACAAGGAAAATAAATGGTTTCTTAGCCTCTCTGTTTCTGAAAAGTCAAGTTTTCATTAGTCATTTATATTTAGGATTTCTCACCTTTCCTACTGAATACTTGAGAGAAAGAAATAAACAGTCGCTTTTCAGAGAAGCTTTTACATTACAAGTTAGATGTGGTTAGAGCTTAACCACAATTCAGAAGCGTGTGCATTCAAAAGGGACAAACACTTTTTTTTCCTCTTTTGATCATTACTATAGAAAACTAAGAAACATGTCATAGGGAAATCATCTAAAATGAGATCTAAATGAACTGAAATCACCAACAATGGGAATAAAATAAACAAAATATTATTTTTAGTAGCACCTTTCCTTAGTTCAAAATGAAAATTTAGATGTTGGAGAGAAACATCTATCAAAAGAAGGCCTCTAGTTGTACATCTCAGTTTTACCAATCACAGAGCGTATTGCTTTTCTATTTACCTACCTAATACATATATCCTGTTTTCATACCACAGCCACTTCAGATCTTCCATCAACTGGCACACAACATAAACTGAAGCAAACCAACAACCAACCATTAGAGCCCAAAAGGTGCTATACTGTGTGTGGAAGAAAATAAATGACACATTTTTTTGTTCATTCACTCTCATAAAAATAAAAGCAAACAAATAAACCTTTTGTATTAGAAACTCCTACATCAAACTGAATTGAAGTCAATTTAAGAAACTCCCTAGGGTCTTAAGGTGTGGTCCACAAGTCAGCAACACCAGCATCACATGGAGCTTGCTGGGTTGACAGAGTCCTAGGCCCCACCGCAGACTGCTGAATCAGAACCTGCATTTCAACAAGATTCCCACGTGGCTTGCATGTACACTGAAGTTGGAGAAGCACTGTTATAAAGAATAAATTTATCTCAAAATAATGCTGGTGTTGTAAACTTTAATCAGCGTAACTGCAACACCACCATCCTGAATTATTTATTTATCCCCAACTAAGTTCAGTGTGTTATTTTATTGAAGGTCTGGCTGGGCACGGTGGCTCACGCCTGTAATTGCAGCACTTTGGGAGGCAAAGACAGGCAGATCGCCAGAGCTCAGCAGTTCAATACCAGCCTGGGCAACATGGTGAAACCCTGTCTCTACAAAAAATACAAAAATTAGCTGGGCATGGTGGTGTGTGCCTGTAGTCCCAGATACTTGGCAGGCTGAGGTGGGAGGCAGAGGCTACAGTGAGCCAAGATCATGCCACTAAACTCCAGCCTGGGCAACAGAGCAAGACTGTCTCAAAAAAAAAAAATAAACAAATAAAAATAAAGGAAGATGGTGGATTGGGGAACTAATAATAATAAAGAAATTCCCAGATGTAGCAGTGCTGTTATTCAAGGCCCCAATGGTTCAGCATCATGAGATTCCCAGCTCTATAAAGATAATAGAAATTTTCACTCAATATAGAAATAGCTAACTATTACTCAAGAAAAACACATTACCTAGAAAGCAAAATGGTCTCAAAAAAAGTAGCACCAAAACTTAATACTACATATAGTAATCAATAAAATCAGGAACATCAGAAAAAGATACATTTTAGAGCCAGTTTACATAATGAAGAAACATAGTTTAAATTAGAACCTATCATAATGTGAATTAATTTTGATTAGTTTTTCATGTCTGTAAGATCATGATTTCCATTTTTTACTCATTTACACATAGTGTGCCTACCTTCGGAATGAATCGTTTCACCAACAGCAAGACAAAGACTAATGTCATTAGAACACCTAGCACAGTTCCCGAAGAGTAATAGAAAGTAGGGCTTCTGTCAAGATAAGCAGATACAAGCCATTTAAATGCCAAACAGCACTTTGAGTATGAAAAGCATGTTTAACCTGGCAACGTCGGTCATAAATAATACTAAGAACAAAAAACTCAGATGGCAGCTGTCCTTATATCCTATACTCTTAAAAAACAAAATGGGTACTTGAAATTCATGGTAAGTTGCTTGCCACTAACGCAAACCAGAATGTCTGAGTTATTTTTCATATTCAGGATCTGATCAGACAATAACTACTAAACACCTATCATGTAGCAGGCACTTGTCCAGGTTTTAGAAAGGAGAAAATTAAGGCACCAAGAAGTTAAAAAATCTTCCCTAAGTCAGTATCTGCTCACCGGAGGATTAGGGATTACAACCCAGCTCCTCGGAGTCCAGGCTTTGTTCTGCATGCTATGTATGCATCATCTGGCTTATAAAGTTCATGGATGACATTAAACACACTTGGTAACACTATAAGGAAAAGCTTCAAAATGAACAATGTTAAGAACAGCTGACGAGTATTGGGTACTAACCTAGAATCCACAAGCTAAGTATAAAATATTGAAAAAAGATTTCTTTCTCATGAGAGAATTCCAAGAAACAAAACATCAGAATAATATGTTTCTCAGATGAGAATATGTCATTAACAAAAAAGAAAATGATAATACGTTTCTCTAAGAGTCAGATATTTGCTATATTCAGCCTTCTGTATCAGGGCCATAAATCTAGGAGGCGGCTCTAATGTAATAGAGCAAGGTGTGTGGACCAGAAAACCAGGGAACAAATCTCCAGCCCTGATAAGAACTAATAGTGTGATGAAGGATGTTGCTTTTCTCATCTATAAAATGAGAACAATAATACAGAGCTTGCATAGTTATTATCAGGATCTAATAAAATATGTTAATACATAAAATATGTGAAAGCACTTTGTAACATATACATATCATGCTATACAAATAACTGTTACTGTTTTCAAAGGCCTTTACAACACCATCTTCAGACCTATTTGCAAAACCTAAAGTATGCACTACAAATGCACAATAATGTGAAAATACTTAGCATGTGGTCAAAAATGATCTAAACCTGTTTTCATTCACAAAGTTAAAAATATAAAAAGGAATACTTACTGACTCAGGGTCTCTGCATAAAAGGAAAGAAAAACTCCTGCCACAAACACAAGGAAGAGTTTGAAATCCATGACTGGAGTAAAAAAGACACACAAACACATAACAAAAAGATTTTTTATCAATGTAATGTTGGTAAAAGAAAAAAAGTCAATTTATTGAAAAGTTACTCCAGAAAAACTGAATCCAGAAAGTCAAGTATAATAAAATTGGACTTACTGTTTCGATTCACATGTATCATATAGTTAAATATCTTCCTGACAGGCTCCACAGAAAAGCACACAGTCTCTCCATATGGATTGATGATTATGGTTATTTCATTAGATTCTTTTGGTATCCAAAAGTTATGAATCACACATTTGATAAAAGATAAAATGGTTTCTGGATATTGGCAATTATGTCTTTCTGTGATGTATACAATTCTGAACAGGCCTGAACTGGTAATTTTCACCTGTAAAACAAGAACAAACAAATCCATAAACAGAATAACTTCTCTTTGTTGTTGTTTTGGAGATAGGGTCTCTCTCTGTTGCCCAGAATGGAGTGTAATGGCAGGATCTCCGCTCGCTGCAACCTGCACCTCTAGACCAGCCTGGGCAACATGGCGAAAACCCACCTCAGCCTCCCAAGTAGCTGGGACCAGAGGCACATGCCACCTGCCCAGCTAATTTCTGTATTTTTTATAGAGATGGGTTTTTGCCATGTTGCCCAGGCTGGTCTCGAACTCCTAGGCTCAAGCTATTTGCCTGCTTCAGCCTCCCAAAGTGCTGGGATTACAGGCGTGAGCCACTGCGTCCGGCCAAAACTTCTTATAAGCTTCTTAAAAACATGAGCAACGGAGTAAAGAGAACTCAAGATCAGCTGAGTAAAGAATACTCAAGGGCTAAGGGTAGCGTTCTATGTTCTGATCCCAGAGGTAGAATCAACAGATTTGTATTTAGTCCAAACACACACTGAACCACAGACATTATTGAAAGTGAATGCTTCTCCCCACAAGCTGTGGCTGATTTAAGTCCCTCTTCTAGCAAGTTATTGTGGCCAAGAGACATTAAAAAGGATGAGAAGAATGTACAGGCATACCCATTTTATTGTTTTACTACACTGTGCTTTGCAGATAGTGCATTTCTTACAAATGAAAGGTTTGTGGCAACTCTGTCGGGCAAGTCTACTGGCACCATTTTTTCAACAGCATGTGCTCACTTCATGTCTTTGTGTCAGCATGTTTCAGCAATAAACTGTTTCTTAAATTAAAGTATGTAGGGGTTTTTTTAAAGGTATAATGCTATTGCACCCTTAACAGACTAACAGTATAGTGTAAACATAACTTTTATAGGTACTAGGAAACCAAAAAATTTGTGTGACTTGCTTTATGGGGTATTTGTTTTATTGCAGTGTTCCGGAACCAAACCCATAGTCACATTATCTCTGAAGTATGCCTGTGATCGGTGGCAAAATATGTGAGTAGGCATGGTTTGAAAATAGGGTTTATATCTACACCATTTTCTACTGTGATTAAGAAAAAGCACTTCCTTTCTCTGGATCAGCTGAGCATCTGTAATTCATGCTTCTCTCACCATGCCTACTGAAGGACAAGATCCCAACCTCAGGTCCTATTCACATCATACAACAAAGCACTGGCTACAAGCCGATGGTGACAACCCAGTGGTCATTAAATGACAATTTTGCTGCTGCCTTTGTCCATTCTTCTCTCTATTCTTCTTCTTTTTCTAAGAGTAGGGCAACCTGAAAGGGAGTAAGAGCACCAGCTCTGAATCTCAGTCATCAGGCAATATCACCCACTATCTATCTACCAACCCCCACATTTCTCTTTGACTTTGGCTCCTGGCTCCTGGCTCACTGTTGCTCTCTCTCCAATACTATTTCCTGTCATTCTTCTTAGGTATTTCAGTGTATACAATGTACACACCAATCCTTCCAATATCCTGGCCTCTCAGTTCCTGGGATTCCTTTCCTCTTATGCTCTTGTCCTCCCTACCTCAGCTCATCACTCCATGGCCATACCCCAGACCTTGTCAGTACCAGACTGCAGCCCCTCCATACATCTTGTTTCATGCATCTCACTGTGTGACCACCATCTCCTATCTTTCCAGTGTACCCATCTAGTGCCCCAACCCCACCAAGGATCTGAACATCCTTCTCTTCTCCTGCTCCTTACCCTCTTAATATCCTCAATCTCTTTTTAGCCAGCTAAACCCTATGATCAATTATTACACACCATTCCCTGGCACATACCCTTGACTCCTTTGCACCCCTCTTGCTTTGTCATGCTCACTTACAAAATTCAACTCTCCACCATTCTACTCCTGCATTTGCATCACCAGTGTGCTGCAGAAATGCACACTGACTGGTCTCACTTCAAATCCATGACTGTGAACTCAGAGAGGGACATGAAAGCTGCAGTCATTCATACCACATATTACTATTCATTCATTCTTCTACCCTCTGCAATAAAGGATTTCACAACTTCTTCCTCAATACTCAACAACTCCTCCCCATCCTCTTCTCAGCTGTTGATCCTTCCTACTTCACTGAAAATGGAAGAAATCAGAAGTGAATGTCCACCAGCTCCTATCTGCAAAGTCCCCTACCTGTCAGCACCTGCAGGCACATGCTCCGCTTCCTGCCTGTGGGGAGGAAATTTCTTCCAGAGGAAATTTGCAGGCTCCATAAAGGCAAGTCCCGACTTGGGCATGGGATCCTATCCACGTTTGCCTACTCAAAGACATCCCAGCAGCACTTCTTCCCTCTCTACGAGATCATTTCTCTCAGCATACATTTAAAAAAGAAAAAACAACCTTCTGTGGACTTCACTTTTCCCTCTAGCTACCACCCATTTCTTTGCTTCTTGTTGCAATAAAATTCCTTTAAAAAGCTGCCTGTGCCTGCAGTCTCTAGTTCCTCTCCTTCCATTCTCACTTCAATCAGGATTTCATTCTCAAAAAGCTGCCCTGACAAGGTCACTGGTGCTTCCATGTTGCTAACTGAAATGCCCAATTAATTCTCAGTCATCCTATTTGACCTGTCAACAGCACTTGGCACTGCTGGTTATTCCCTCCTCCTCATTACACTTCTCCCTAGGGCTTCCAGGACATCTCCTTCTTCACTGTCGCTCCTTGTGTTTCTCCTCTGCTGGCTCCTTCCTTCTCCCTGAACTCTTAAAATAAGACTGACCCAGGCTTAGCCACTGGTCCTCTTCTCTTCTCCATCTAAACTCACTCGATTTCATGGCTTTAGACACCATCTATATAAATATGCACCGCTAATTACTTTTGCAAAAAAAAGACACAGGAAAGATATACCAGAAACTCCTTAAACTGATTGTCTACAAGGGTTGGATAGGAATTAATAGAGGGAGGAGGGAAAGTGACACTACTCTGAAAATACCTTTGTATAGAGTTTTAACTTTTAAGCCGTATTAGTGTTGTAGATACTCATAAATAATGATAATAACACAGACATAAAGATGGAAACAACAGACAACTGAGGACTTCAAAAGGTGGTTGGGAGGGAGAGGAGCAAGGGTTGAAAAATCTACTGATTGGGTACTATGGTCACTATTTAGGGGATGGGTTCAGTAGAGCCCAAACCCCAGCATTACACAATATATCCATGTGACAAACCTGTACATGTACCCCCAAATCTAAAAAATTAAAAATTAAAAAGGTTTTTTAAAAAATTAAAAACAAAATCTCATTTAAAAAACCCACTATGATCTTTTCTGAGAATAAAAAGGTAAACAAAACTTGTAAACCAAAAATAAAATTCTAACACCCCCTACCCTGCCAACCATCTGAATGAAACCCTCTTCTCAGCCAGGGCACTCCAAAGTTAACCTGAAAAATTGGTTCAGGCTATGCCAGGAAGCAGGGGTTGGACATGCCTCATTATGCCCTCCTCCATTTTGGAATTCAGGAAAAACCAACCAGTATTTAATATCAATACAGACCTTAAGTCTGATAAGAAGCACTTATAATCTATTCTCTCTGAAGCCTGCTACGTGGAGGCTTCATCTCCACGATAAAACTTTGGTCTCCACAATTACTTATGATAACCCAGACATTCCTTTCTATTGATAATAACTCTTTCAACCAATTGCCAATCAGAAAATTTTAAAATCTACCTATAACCTGGAACACTGCACCCCTCTTTGCTTCCAGTTGTCCCACCTTTCTGGACCTAACTAATGTATACCTTAAATGTATTTGATTAATGTCTCATGTCTCCCTAAAATGTGTAAAACCAAGCTGTGCCCTGACCATCTTGGGCACATGTTCTCAGAATCTGAGGGATGTGTCACAGGCCACTGGTCACTCATATTTGGCTCAGAATAAATCTCTTCAAATATTTTATAGAGTGACTTTTTGTCAACAAACTAAAAAAATAAAAATAAAAATGATAAAATTGACCAGGATGGGTGAAAACCCTGAAATTGAAACAAATAAAAACAAACTATATTTTGAATGAATAGTATAACCATACTGAAGTGGGAGTGGACTGGGATGAATTAACCTAAAATACACAACCTCAGAAAAAGATTAAAAAAAAAAACGCTATAAATAAATATTGAACTCCTGTTATTAGGTTTGTGTTTTGCAATGGTGTGACTTTGCAATTCTGAAACTACTTTTAGTGTATTCTGGGATTAGGCAAATAAATAAATATATTTGAGGAAACGGGAATCAAGTTTCTCATTATCAGAGAAGGGAATTACAAATACGAAAACTGGAAAACTAGCATGAATCCTGTGGTATTGGAGATCTCAGAACTCACAGTTTCTAATAGGTAGATACAGATGTATGTGCAGATGTATGGGTGTGTATGTGTGTGTACACACATGACGATATGCAATGAACACACCTAATGTTGACTGTTCCTTGGAAAAAATGTATGATTCTAGAGCTGAGTCTATGATATTACACAAGTCTAGAACATCTTGTTTGTTAGAAAGTAAAGTAGTGCTCAAAAATGCTAGGCACGTGGCAGAAGGACACAGGAGCTAGTTGAAGGGGCTCTGACTGGTTAAATCCAGGACAATTTGAGTATCAAAATAAATAATGAGAGTAATGGATTGTAGTTTCCTGAAATAATTGGCAATGTATGAGACTACATGGATGTAAATAAATGGGAGGAGGAAAATCTCTTCCTTATAGTAGAATGCCAATGAATGTAAATGGAATAATGATGTCAGGCACAGCGGCTTGCGCCTATAATCCCAGCACTCTGGGAGGCTGAGGCAGGCAGATCGCTTGAGTCCAGCAGTTCAGTAGACTCATGGGCAACATGGCAAAACCCCGTCTCTACTAAGACTACAAAAAAAAAAAAGGCCAGGTGTGGCAGTGCACACCTTTCAAGTACTCCCAGCTACTTGAGAGGCTGAGGTGGGAGAATCACCTGAGCCCGGGAGGTTGAGGCTGCAGTGAACCAAGATCGCACCAATGCACTTCAGTTTGGGCAACTGGAGTGAGTCCCAGTCTCAAAAAAAAAAAAAAAAAAAAAAAAGAATGGATATAGAAAAATCAACATTTGATAAACATCATCATGATTATTGATTCAGTAAAGCATCATCAATGAATGATAAACTAAGGGAAGAAAGTTTGATGAGGAAGAGGTTATCTACACAGTCTCAAATTATCACCTCAAAATATTCATTAAAGGGAACAAAATACTAATTTTAGTGGAAGAACCTGACAAACACTACCTTAACCATGTGATCAAAGTAGTGCATATTATCAGCAATGGCATCAATGGACATCAAATGCTTGCTGATACAATGTTCCAGCTATTCTCTCAGCCTTGAACACCCTTCCCCCCAGTACCTTCTTGGGTAACTCACTCCACTGAAATCTTTCTCAAATGTTACCTTCTCAATGAGAACTACCCTGGCCAATTTGCTCCCACTTCTCTCATCCCATTGATATTACTCTACATTTTCTTTTTTCATAGTACTTACTAGTTTTACCATTTTAATCTCTATTACATTTATTGTTTACTATTCCCCACCCTAGATAATGTAAATATCCACAATGGCAGGGATCTATTTTGTTCATTGATGTATCCTAGGAGCCCAGAAATAGTTCCTGGCACTTAATATGTACTCAATAAATATTTGTTAAATGCTGAATGAAAGAAAGTACTAGGCAATTGAGAGCAACTGCTATCTTGGCCATATTTGGGATCAGTGGTTATTCCAGAATTTCTATTTGGAGGGGCTTTGGATGGCAATTTTGGAAAGTAGGAGGAACATGTTGTCTTTAGACTGCCTGAACAGCAGATATGCTGCATACATTTAGATAGTATATTCATTGGGAGTGGCTTTGGAGGGGCTGAGGGAGAGTATGAAGGAGTTAGTGTCCTCTTCTCACACTGCTCACCCATTGAACCACTGTGTGTGATCCTCAAGTCAGCTCTCATAGTGATACACAGACCTGTGTCATACCAAAAATACTTTCTATTCCTGAAATGGTACATTTCCTGTCCCTAGAACATGGTAATTCTCTGTCCCTAAGACATGATTTAAAAGTAGGCCCTTACCTGCATAGTCGACCATATGTATTTCCACTCCACTTGGGAATTTTGATTGTAGCAGTAACAGTCTGACTCAGACGTTCTAATTAAATCTTTTTCCTTCAAAGCTTTACACCTACGAACTGAGAGATGGAAAATGGAATACATTTTCTAACTGTTTAATTGCCAAGAATCTTCTTTTAAAAAAAGTTTTCAGGGAGGTAACAGTAGCAGTTTTAACGTTCTATGACCAATAAATTCTCCTATATAATTATAGTCCTTCAGTCTTTCCAACCAAGGAGGAGACAGACAGAAAATACTATAGCTCAATATTTATGACATTGGAGGGCACTATAAGAGCACAGAGAACAAGTACTTCTTCAATTCTGAAGCAGAAGACAGAATTATGGGCACTTTCCCAGAAAAGACAAAAATATGAGTAAAGGGCTGAAGGGCGAGGTAGAGGCAATAAGACAAAAATTAGGAGGTGGGAGTGGGGGTGGACAGGACCAGCAAGTGTGTACAGAATCATGAAGATGAGATAAATTATGGAATTAATTCAGTTTAGAGATATTGGATTTTTATATTGGTGAGGGAGCATGGATGGAAGGTACAGGGATACAAGAAGACATTTGAACACCTGTAGCTGGAGTGGTAAACCATGACTACTACTATACCATGTGGACTCTATCTTGAAAGCAGAGCACTGGAGGATTTTAGATAAGTATCAGTCTCAGCAAGAAACCATGACACTCAAAAGGATTTAACTGAAAATAGTTCAGTAAAGATATGGACAGGCTTAAGGCACTAATAATAAGGCACTATGAAGTTCTCAGGCACCAACAACAGCAGGAAGCTTTCAGCAGCCCAAGTTCCAAAATGGCAAGGAGGATCCCATGTTACTAGAGTCATTGGAACTAGGAGGACAGTAGTCTAAAGGAATGCAGTCACTGCCAGGACTCCCATGGAATGCAGGGTGAAGGTATGGGTACCTCAACCTGTCTCTCCCGCTGTCCCCTCAGTGCCCTGAATCAGCCAAACCCAACAGGAAGACAGACAGCAAAGAAGCCCATATAATGCAGTCCATAGAGGTTAGCTTCCAGGCACCAAGCAGAAAAAAGAAGGACTGAGAATAGACCTACAGCAACAAACAGGGAATACCAGCTCAATAAGGAAGTGACAGAAATGCATTTGTATTTTAGAAAGAACATTCTGTAGGTAGTGTGCAATATTAAAGAAGAGATTGAAAGCAGAAGAACCACTAAGGAGGCCACTGAAGCAATCTAAACAAGAAATCGACTAAGAGAGGTGGGAGAAATAACAGATTAGGAAATGAAATCAACAGGCTTTACAGATTCATTTTATCAAGGAAAACAAGAAGATGATGTAAAGGTTTCTGGTAAGTGGAGAGATAGTGAGGCCCTTTACTCAGACAAGAAATACTAGAGAAAAAGCAAGTTTGTACGGGGAAGTGGTGGTGAGTTCAATTTTGGATATACTGAGTTTTCATTGGTGGGATTCTGTGAAGATGGACAGATCTTCACATCTCCAGCGAGGAGAAATTTGGCTGAAGACAGATGTAGATACCTAAATATATATGTATGTTATATATAATATATAATATAATACAACTCAACTGAGAGAAAGATATATATTAACCCTCTGTGTTACAGACGGTTAATGTAAATGCCACAAGAAAACTAGAAAGTAATGATGTTCATTTTCTTCTGTGGCCGTTGCTGTATTTGGATTTGAAACGAAGTGAAATGAAAGTCGTAAGTTCTTCTGGATTCAAGATAGAGTGTCACCTCCACATCTGTCCAACAGGAAACAGGAACAAGGAACACTTATGGGTACACACAGAAATGGGTTTTACACCCAACCCCTGACTCCTTTAAGGAGAGTGTGGTCAGTTGTTTCTCCTGAAAAACCTGAAATGAAGCTAGAACAACTTGCTACACCAAAGTTGGGGAAGGACTAAGTAACCAGTAACAACTAGTAAACAATCACATCCATGTAGGGAATAACACTGAATATGCTCAGACAAGTCCCTGGTCCTGGCCTGAAATATCCTTAGCATTAAGTTGGAGAAAAGTGAAGACAGACTTGGGAAAGGATCCTGGGAATGCTCGCCATCTCCCAAAACACAACTCCATAAAAGGGAGGGTTCTCCAGTGGCCACACGAAGCAGCAAAATTACACAAGGACCCAGTGTATTCAACTGTGACAGTCAAATCATCTTTACTCTTCACATTATGATGAAATGCATATGTTTCTAAATATATCAAAAAATTTGCAGAGTTTGAGAGTCCAAGATGCAAATACAAGAATCCAGGTTAACCACAAGAAGGAACCTCCAGAGCAAGGGTCCCCAACCCTGGGGCCAAGGACCAAGACCACTCCATGGTTTGTTAGGAACAGGGCTGCAGGAGGTGAGTGGTGGGCGAGGCGAGTGATCACTGCCACCTGAGCTCCACCTCCTGTCAGATCAGCAGTGGCATGAGATTCTCACAGCAGCATGAACCCTACAGTGAACTGCACATGCTACGGATCTAGGCTGCATGCTTGTTATGAGAATCTAATGCCTGATGATCTGAGGTGGAACAGTTTCATCCCCACACCACCCCCTACCCTACTCCTATCCCGTGGAAAAATTGTCTTCCACGAAACTGGTCCCTGTTGCTAAAAGGTTGAAGACCGCTGTTCTAGAGGCTCTCTGTTAAACACAGGATACTAAAAATGAAAAATGTGCTCTTGCATGCTGTTTCCATGCACAAGAGCCAAAAGGAGAATTCACAACCAAGGGTATGAGCACACAAAGCAACCAATGCTGAGGCACATTTTTTGATATATCTGAGAGGCAAATGACTTCTGGCCAAGGGCAGCATAGGGGGAGGTGCAGTCCCAGGGATATCAAAGGGCTGGCAGCTACCTATAAAAAATATGAAAGTCAAGGAATGTAGTATATAACCTGGAAGACCCTGAGCAACTGCAATGAGAAGACATGAGAACACATTAAATGCTCCCAGCTAGTGAGCAGCAGAGGTTGGGGGAGCAGGTCTCTGGATTCACCTTACCATGTTCTGCCTTTGCACAGCCTCCCAGGGGGTCTCTGAGCACGGCTAGAGTTGAGAACTTTATACTGGGAGTCCTCAAATAAAAGGGATTCCTACCCATCATTGGAAAGGGAGTGCATTCCAGCAGGGCAGGTGAAGAGCATGAAGTCTCAGGGACACAGAAGCAGCAGCCCAAACTATGATAGGAATGTTTACTTCCAGACAGGTCTTTCTTTACCACCCATGTGCTCGATGCTAGAGGGGCTTTTCTTGTGGGTGCCTCCAAGGGCCCCTCACTGCAATTCTTCTCCTAGAGAGTGCTGCTACTTCAAGGGCTAAATCAGCTCCCACAGAACAGTTCACTTTTGTTAATGGTCTGAGGAAACAGCCTTTTGGTGGGGCCTGAGTTTTGCAATCAAATGCTCTCTTAAAATAAGGTTCTTTCCACTTGGTCCTAAGACTGTCTCCTAAATCATTCCAAATCTGGAGCTCTTAAGAGCAAGATGGTGCAATTTAAGTATATTGTATACTGCGGTTTCAACACAGGAGTAAATGCTTCTCTCTTACCCAAGCCACATTCCTCTTGCACTAGGATGATTGTAATAGCCTTCTATCCAGCTGGTCTCCCTGCTTCCAGAATTGCCCCCCACCACCACATTTTCCTCTACAACCTACTCTTCAATTAGCAAATAGATCTTTTTAAAAACATGAATGGGGCCCAGGTACATTGGCTCATGCCTGTAATCTCGCTTGAACCTGGGAGGCAAGGCTGCAGTGAGCTGAAATCGCGCCACTGCACTCCAGCCTGGGCGACTGAGTGAGACCCTGTCTCAAAAAAAAAGCAACAAAACCAAAAACAAACAAACAAGCAAACAAAAACACGAATGGGAACACATCATTTACCTGCTTAAAACCCTCCAATGGCTTTCCTTTACACCATTAATAAAATCCCCCTCCCTTCCAGGGACCTGAGTGCCTCTATGACCTTCCCTCCTCCACTTTCCCTCCCAGCCCGGCTGCTCCAGCCACACCTGGCCCTCCTGTCCTCAAGATGCCAGCCAACCCCCACGTAAAGTTTCGTCAGTCTGCAACCTTCTTCTCCCAGATCTTGGCAGAGCTCATGCCTTCCAACCACTGATGTATTCTATCAAATGCTACCTTCTTATAAAGGCCTTCTTTGACCCCACTATCTAAACAAACACACCCCAACCACTTCCACCCGCTTTCTTCTTTCTTCGTATTACATATGTATTTATTAGCTTATACTCTGTCTCTCTACGAAGTCAGGGACATTGCATGTTTATTACTGTAACCCCCAGAACTTAAATATTTGTCTTTTGTGTGTATCTTGTGGTTCGAGAGGACTACTGGGTTATTTGGGCATATGTGGCCTACCAGTGGAAGTCCAGCCAATCTTTGTAAGAGCCTGGTCAGGGTTAGTCAGCACCATAAAAGGACGTGCACTCTGGCCCTCCCTTGGAACCACCTGACGTAGTAGGATGCCCTTGCCAGTCTGTGCCATTGCCATCCCATCTACAGAACCCACAAAGCATGAGGGCCAGTCTGGAAGCCACAGGCTGAACTTCCCCCTTACCCTACCCCATGGTCAATACATTCATAGCTAGAGGGTTGAGTACTGTAACCCTTAACATCCTCTGGGCTGGGGACCACCTTCTTGCCCCTCACTGGATAGAGGAGGGCAGACAGAATAGGTGGGATTAAGCTTCTTTTATTTGACTCATATATGATACATCAGTGTATTCTGTGTAAGGAATCTGCCAGTTAGAAGAAAAGAACTTGTTCTGTATTTCCCCTCAGTCTTCAACCAGATTAAAGACAGCATAGAAGGAAGGACATTGTCCTGACTGTTCATACCTATAGACACACTAGTAAAAGCATGTTGCAAACAGTGTTTTCCCTCGAATTCTCCACAGTGGCCTCTGGCTTTTGAGGTGAAGCTGATGTGGAATTTACACAATCCATGAGATTTCGCAGACAAGGTGGCAGTGCTTCATCATGTCCTCTGGCTGCCCTTTTTTCTTATCACCTCTCTCCCGAGGTGAATGAGTCTCAACCCACATAGGAATTCCTAAATATGTAAGGGACCAGAAATTCAGCCATAAGAAGCCACAAGCCTAGCTTCAAGTCAGTTCATTAAGCCATGGGCTAATTGGACTAGGCAAAAGACAGTGATTGTCACAAGACTGTTATCACAGCTGGCCCATCGCCTTCCTAGAGAGAACAGATCTTCCAATCTTTGATTATAGAGGCTTTCTTAGGTCTCTCTTCCCTTTAGCAATCTTCTTCTAGAGCCACTTCAATTCTCAGTTTCAATCATGTCCAGCAGAAATAGGAAACAGAGTCAGTTTGACTGCTTATTTGAACTCTATCACTGAGTACGCCCTGACACTGAAGGCTATGAAGCTGCCTACATGTCTGCGGATTTCATTTATTCATGAGGCCCCAGTTATTGCTGGTTAATTCTACTAGGATAGAACCTGCTGGTAGCAGATGTAGGCAAACTCAAATGTATCAAAACAACAACAGGCCAGGCGCTGTGGCTCATGCCTGTAATCCCAGCACTTTGGGAGGCCAAGGCAGGTGGATCACTTGAGCCCAGGAATTTGAGATCAGCCTGGGCAACATGGTGAAACCCTGTCTTTACCAAAAACGCAAAAATTGGCCAGTCTCATAATCCAATCTCAAAAATAAGTAAATATACATTTAAAAATTAGAACAAAAACAACAATCCCCTTACAACGCAATCCAGGAAATGAAACAGAATTTCTAGGAATTTTTAAAAATCTAACAATAATCATTCATTTGGTAAAAAGGGAACAATACCTGCCTAGGGAAAGCTACTGCTTCTACTTGAGGCTGAGGTATTTAATATGTCCGTACCCTGGAAGGTGCTCCATAACCTAGGTAATCACTTCCTCAAGCCTGAATCAAATCAGGAGAAAGATCTGGGATTGTAGGCTATCCCAGGTTTGCCTCAACTCCGAAGGACTGAGGAGTATCTGTGGGATCAACCCTGAATGCCATCCTTACTATGGAAAGACAGGTTTCTAAGCCTGGAAGGGCATCATTTTCCTTAACTTCTTGCAATCCTCAGCAGGCTCCCTTAATCCTTTCAATTATACTGACTTTTAGAGAACAGTATATTTCTGGATAGTTGTGCCCAAATCACTAAGATGCTACAGGAGGCATTAATTATTTACATTACCAAGGGATTCAGAAAGTCAGGGGTTCCCTTAACCAATGAGATAAGATTCCTTAGTTCACTTTAAATACCACTCAATTTATAAATATTCAATTAACCTAATTTTAGAATTACATATCTAATATAAAAAAGGGACAGCTACATATCACCTACTTTAATTAAAATTATCTTCTTTGTAGTACTTTTGTCGTGTATTAGTTTTCCTAAATGTAAGTATATGTTTAAGTTAAAGAGTTGAGTCATATACACAGAAAAAAAAAAAAACAAAAAAAACCTCAGTCAAAACATCAGAAAAGAGCAGGTAGTACTTAAACCTACTTACAGAATATGCTAAAACTAAAAAGCACAAACACCTTAAATCTTAGCAGAACCTAACTCCTAACATAAAAATATCTCACCAATGTGCCTCCTGAAAACTGACATGGCCCTCATATGGGGGAAAAAAAAATATCTTCAGATGAAACTAGAACGGAATCATAATATAAACACTACATTATATGACAAATTTCTCCATTTTCCCTATAACTGTTTTTCTTTGGGAGCAAGGAAGGGGAGGGAGAAGAGTAGGAAACATGAAAAGCAAAAAAACGAACAAGTCTTAACTTGTGAGAAGTCAAATGGACTCAGGATTTTTCTATTTGTTTTTTGTAAATTCATATTTTCAAAGGAGTTAACATGAGGCATCAAAGTGATAAAGGTAACTATTCTCTTAACCTCAGTTTTTTTTTACCTGAATATTCATCTTTTTATTTCTCCAAGAATGTGAGAATGAAACTGGAATTAGTACATACTAATGCACACTCAGGTCTTTGACTTCAAGCCCAAATCTTCACAGATGAATTTGAAAGCTGTGATTTCAAATGGACTGTTACCATAATTTAAGCCTGGAAAGCCACCGCCAGGGCCTGAACTTCATCTCAGGACAACACATGGTTTCTAGGGACCTTACTAACTGGCTGAACCTCTTGAAGTTTCTCTTCCTCTCAGTGTCAACTGTCTCTGACTTTCCTCCAAATAGTTACAGAAAGCTGGTGTTTGTCTGAATGTTCCCCGTTCCATGGAAGAGTGTGTTATTCAAGACAAAATTTTAGAACAGGAAGGTACCTTAAGTATCACCTAATCCAAGCCCCTCGCTTAAACGAAGTACCAGCTGTTTCCTCTCAGGGTCCTCATGAAACCATAGACTTTTAGAGAGCAGCAATGGTTCTTAAGCCTAGTCTAATCCAGGGCTGCCAACACAGTGTCACTGGCACATTACCAGATACTGGGCGCTTCACAGTCCGTATTGGAAAGCCTACTGGAATGGCGGGCATCCCTGTAAGGCTACAGAAGTTGCCATTCTTCTTAGCTGTGGACTAGTTTTATCAGGTCAGTGGGCATCCTACCTGTCTCAGGCAGAACAGAAGCTCCAATAAGTATTTATGCGTGTCTTTGATTAACAAAGCAAAGAAGCAAGCTGTTACTATTACACTAAATGCGGTAACATAAAAACTTCAAAAACACCAGGTTTACTGAGGTGAGGAAAATACTGGAAACTCTTCAGTAAAAAAATCTTCATTTTACTCAAGAGAAAACTACGGTTCATAAAGACTATGCCTGGACCAATGTTTTACCACAAGTTGTGGCTGAAGGTAATGAGCGGTCTAGAATCCAAGGTGCTGGGTGCTGGTCTAAGGCTACTTCTAATTTTCTGGCTGTTGCCATGCCCAGAAACCTTCCTGCTTAGAAAGATTTGTGTTTTAATTTTTCACTGGCATAAAATTGTTGTATTTCTTACTACCAAGCCTTTGTTTTCTCATCTGAAAAATGGTTATAAAATGGTGCCTTCCCCCATAGGGCTTCTATGGGTATTAAATATGATAGATACCGCAGCTAAAGCACGTATAACACTGCCTAGCACATAATAAACACTCAAAAAATTTCTGTTCGATGAAAACCGGAATCCAACAGTTCCCCAACATATAACTCACCGCAAGATTCCCTCAGTTGGGAGCTGTGGCAGAATCTGATAATGACCTCATCAACATCCAGTCTCTCATTCATCCTTAGATAAAAAACAGCAGTATAACTGGAGGGAGGGCCATGCCCAGCTAAAAGAATACACTTGGCAGCCTCCCTTGAAACCAGGGTAGCCAAAGCAAGGAAGAGAAGTTGGTAGAGAGTGCATCCAGGAAATCTTTTAAAAGATTTTATGAGGGAAAAAAAAAAGAAACAGAAATGTGAAGCTCATGGTAAGTTAGCGGCAGGTCTGGAGTTGGAACTCTGGGTTTCTGACTTCCCCAGGTGTTCTTCCCAGATCCTTCCCCAGTGTGCCAGCATCTTGAGCCCATTCCGTGGCGAGCCCCTAACGCTAGCAGCCGCTACCAGTTCTTGCTTCCTGTGCGCCAGGCATTGTGCACACCAACACCACAAGAACCTTGTGAGGTCTCATTACCCGCGGCTCATGTGGGACCCGTTATGTTTACTCGCTCAAGGTCACAACAGCCAGTCAGTGGCAGGAGAATTTTCGCTACGATTCTGAAGCTGAAGCTGTTACCTTCTCTACTCTTGAGATCAAAGGAATGCGAGATAGCGAAATAACAAGGATTTCAACAGGCATTGATGTACTGTACAAAAGGCCTTGTGCTGAAAGTCTGGAGACTACAGTCAGCTGTGCCAGTGACAAGCTGTGTCACCTTGAGCAAATCAAAACCTCTCTGAGTTTCAGTTGCTTCTGTAAGACGAGGGAATTGGGCGACTGGATCGCACGGTTTCTAGTCCTAAAATTACAAAATGTCCAATTGCCAAGAGAGAGACCAAAGAAGCCCAAGAAGACAGGAAGGGCGGACAGGGCCTGCCCGGGAGACCCCAAAGGGAGAAAAGGGAGCGCCCACCCGGATCGGCCTCGCAGTGCCACCCGGGCCAAAAGGCGCGCCCTCGGGGCAGTCGCGAAGCCGGGGAGCGAGCACGCACGCGCGCGCCGCCGCCGCCGCCGCCGGGTCCAGGTTACCTGACAACGCCGCCGCCGCCGCCTCCCCCCGCACGGGCAGTGTGGCCAGGGGCGGCAGCCAGAGTAGCAGCCACCACCGCCCCTGGCACGGCCCCATTTCGTTAGGGGTCAGCTCCGTGCGACCCCGAGCCCTAGGGGACCGGCTCCGCCGCGAGGAGCGGAAGTGGCGCGGGGCCTCAGAGAAGGCGGAGGGGGGCGGTGAGGCCCGAACGCGGGAAAGGCGGAGACCCCGCCTCCCCGGGGCGGAGGGAGAGTTGGGCCCGTTGCTCCAGCCTCCGCCCGCGGCCTCGGGGCACGCTGGCCCAGGCCGGAAGAGCTTTCGGTGGCGCGACCCCGGTGGCATGCTCCCGTCCTCGGCCTCGGCCTCCGGGCCTCCAGCGCTCGCGGGGCGTCCAGGGCCTGATCTTCCCTTGGGGACCACCCGGCAGCGTCCTGGCGCAGGGGTGGGAGTTGCGGAGAGGAAGGGTCGCTAATCCGGAGTGTTTCTTAAAACTTGGCTGATCTGTGTGACCTGCGGGATTTGGAGGCTGAATTCTCCGAGCACCTGTGAGTGACAGCCCGTGAATGGGAAGGTCCTTGGGCAAACGCTCTTTTTGGGAATAAAATACATAAAAGCCAGTTTCTTTATTTTACCTTTCTGTTTTCCTTTTTACTTTCATTTGGTAACAAGCAATAACAAATTGGAAACTTGGCCGCTTAAGTAACACTGACCTTGTATGTCTAATCTTGGACACCACATTTCAGAGTACAGAGGAGCTTGTAAAATGTTCCTTCACCAATATGACAATCAAGCTTCTCTTAAAATTAGCTTATGTTAAAAAAATAGTTTTTTAATGTAATATATTTTTAAATTAACATACAACTCGAATGGTCTTAATACTGATAATTAGGAGATATATTAATATATATTTTAAAGAACATTCCCTCCACAGGCCCTGGAACCCATTAATTTGACTCAATATTCCATACTTAACTAGGACAGTCTTCTCTAATTCTGGTCTTTTGGTGAGATAGAGAACACAAAGTAACAGAAATTATCCTTTTTAAAATAGATAAGCCTCATTTTTCCTAAAAGTCTGAGTAGAATGTACTAGGCTTTCCTTGCCCTCAAAGGAAAATTTAAACAACTGCCCTTAAGCACTTGGCACCATGTGTACACCACGTATGGCTTTTAAAAAGTTAAGAAATTTCCTTGTAAGGGACTTTTCAGTGGGATGATTTTTAAAAATAAACCATCATTATTTGAGTGAAGCCTGTCTTCAGAGAAACAGCAGAGCCCTGATCCAAATCTTTCCGATATTCCCAGGTGAGGTGCGCACTTGCTTCTTGCAAGACAGCTTTTGTACCTAACCGCATTCATTTTGATTTGGTTTAATTTTGGATGGCACTATGGAAAGTAGCTAAAATAAACAGGTGGATTGTTGAATGATGAATGTATTTTCATACAAATATATGTGGTAGAGAAACAAAAGGGCAGGCAGCAATGTACTGAATATTTAAAGTGCTATTTATATCACAGATCATTAGTAAACATCTGTAAAGAAGCTATATTGAAACACTACATTTCTCTCTATAAGCAATAAATATTTTTCCGGAGATAAAAAGAATATTAGGAGGTGACAGTTCTGTCACTGGGGGACAATCATAAAATTCCACTTAACCTCTCCAAACCTTTCTTCTGTATGAAAACTTTATCCACTGGGGGAAGGGCAGGAAGCATTACCACCAACAGGATCCTGGCAAAGACCCCGTGCTTCTGGAGAAGAGGTAGAAGCACAAACCTTCTGCCCTTTGGGGAGCAGCAGGAGCAGGAAACACTAGGGCTCCGTGTCCTGAACCAATAGAAAGTTGAAGTTGGCTACTCCTGGGAAACTCTCACTCAAGACTCACCACAGATAAAGGAAGGATTTGGCTGCAATGGAGAAGTAGCAGGAATACTGAGATAGCCCCACATCTGAGGCTTAGGTGCACAGGGCCTGCCTAAAACTAAGGCAGGACCAGGAGTGTGAAAAACCCCTTTTCCCCACTATAAGCCAAGCACCAGTGACAACACCAGTCAGCTAGTGAGGAGGAAAAAGAGTGTGAGGAGAGACCTCTCTGTAGCACAGGCATGCAAACACTGCTAAAGCTGAGTGAAGGGCACTGAGAAAAAGTCCCCAGCACTCTAGGTTCCACACTAAAACAATGTAATAGTAACCCCCTGCTAGAGGAATCTGAATGAAGCCTGTGGTACAGAGTGAAGGCAATGACAACAACAATAAAACCCAAATTCAGCACAACTCCCAGCTAGATGACTCAACTACCCACATTATTGACCGGACAGAAGAGGCTTATTTCTGGACATTAATACTATTTACCTTAGTCGTTACTATTCTCCTACATGTGATAGCCATCACTTGATCAAAAATTAAAAGACACCCAAAAAAGCAGAGAGGAGAAAAAATCAAGAGGTAAAACAGAACCAGATTCAGAAATGACCCATATACTGGGCTATAATTACTATGCTTAAAAAGCTAGTGGAAAAGGTGAATAACATGCATGAATATATATACAGAATTTCAGCGGAAAGAGGAAAATTACTTAAAAAGTGAAATGGAAAGGTTAGAATTTAAAAACACCTTATCAGAAATGAAGAATTCTTTCAATGGGCTTATCAGCAGACTGAACATAACTGAGGAAAGAACCAGTGAATTTGAATATAAGTTGATATGGTTTGGCAGTGTCCCCACCCAAATCTCATTGAATTGTAGTTCCCATAATCCCCACACATCGTGGGAGGGACCCAGTGGGAGGTAACTGAATCATGGGGGTTGTTACTCTCATGCTAGTGAGTGAGTTCTCATGAAATCTGATGGTTTTATAAGGGGCTTTTCCCCCTTCAGTCAGCACTTCTCTCTTGCCACCTTGTGAAGAAGGACATGTTTGCTTGCCCTTCCACCATGATGGTAAGTTTCCTGAGGCCTCCCCAGCCATGCAGAACTGTGAGTCAATTAAACCTCTTTCCTTTATAAATTATGGGATCTGTGGAACTATGAACTTGAGAGAGATGATTTAGGGTATCTGGTGGAAGAAATTTCTAAGCAGCAAAGCATTCAAGAGGAAGCAGAGCATAAAGGTTTGGAAAATTTGCAGCCTGACGAAGCAATAGGGAAAAAACTCATTTTCTGGAGAGAAATTCAACGCAGCTGCAGAAATTTGCATAAGTCACAAGGAGCTGAATGTTAGTCAACAAAACAATGGGGAAAATGTCTCCAGGGCATGTCAGAGACCTTCTCACCAGCCCCTCCCATCAAAGGCTCAGAGGCCTAGGAGGGAAAAATAGTATCATGGGCTGCACCTAGGGCCCCCCTCATACCCCGTCCCCCCCCCCCGGTTCTATGAAACCTTGGGACATGATGCTCTGTTGTTCCAACTGCTTCAGCTCCAGCCTTGGCTAAAAAGAGGCCATCATACAGCTCAGGTCATTGCTTTAGAGGGTGCAAGCCCCAAGCCTTGGCAGCTTCCACATGATGTTGAGCGTGTGGGTGCACAGAAGTCAAGTATTGAGGTTTTGGAACCTCTGCCTAGATTTCAAAGGATATATGGAAACACCTGGATGTCCAGGCAGAAGTTTGCGGCAGGGATGGAGACCCTCTGCTAGGGCAATGCAGAAGGGAAATGTGGAGCCAAAGCCCTCACACAGAGTCCCCACTGGGGCACTGCCTAGTAGAACTGTGAGAAGAGGGCCACCTTCCTCCAGACCCCAGAATGGTAGATCCACCGACAGCTTGCACTGTTTACCTGGAAAAGCAGCAAACACTCAATGCCATCCTGTGAAAGTGGCCAGGGAGAAGGCTGTACCCTGCAAAGCCACTTTGGACTTGGACTTTTGAGTTAATGCTGGAATGAGTTAAGACTTTGGGGGACTATTGGAAGGGCATGATTGTGTATTGAAATGTGAGGACATGAGATTTTGGAGGGGCTAGAGGTAGAATTATATGGTTTGGCTATGTCCCCACCCAAATCTCATCTTGAATTGTAGTTCCCATAATCCCCACATGTCATGGGAGGGACCCAGTGGAAGGTAATTGAATCTTGGGGGTGATTACTGCCATGCTGCTGTTTTCTGATAGCAAATGAGTTCTCATGCTAACTGGTGGTTTTATAAGGGAATTTCCCCCCTTTTGCTTGGCACTTCTCCTTCCTGTCATCATGTGAAGAACATATTTGCTTCCCCTTCTGCCATGATTGTAAGTTTCCTGAGACATCCCCAGCCATGTGGAACTGTGAGTCAATTAAACCTTTTTCCTTCTTGTTCTGCCTGGGTGGGATTCTGACTTAGAGGCATTCAGTCATAATCCCACAGATGGTAGCTTCACCCCATTGGCTCCTCAGCCAAGCACATACAACAAATGTCTGAACCTGTGGTTCCTCTTATACTGAGCAGGATTACCATGGCAATAGCACATCAACAGTAGGGTGAAACTAACCTGTCTCACGATGGTCTAAAGTGACTAATCCACTCCAGCATTCCAAACTAAAACAGAAAGGAAAAAAAAGGCAATCTCTCTTCATCCCCTCTCATCTTCCCCTTACCTCTGGTAACCACCAACCTACTTTTTATCTTCATGAGATCCACTTGTTTTTTAGCTCCCACATATAAATGAGAACATGTGATATTTGTTTTTCTGTACTTGGCTTATTTCACTTAACATAATGACTTCCAGTTCCATCCATGCTGCTGCAAATGACAGGATTTCATTCTTTTTTTACTGCTGAAAAATATTCCATTGTGTATATATACTATATTTTTTAATCCATTCATCTCATTGATGGACACTTGGGTTGATTCCATGTTTTATCTATTGTGAATAGTGCTTCAATAAACATGAGAATACAAATATCTCTTTGATATACCAATTTCCTTTCTTTTGGATATATACCCAGTAGTGGAATTTCTGGATCATATGGTAGGTCTAGTTTTGAGGAACTTCCATAGAGTTCCCATAGAGGCCATGCTAATTTACATTTCCACCAAGAGTGCACAAGTGTTCCCCTTTCTTCACATCCTTGCCAGCATGTTATTCCCTGTCTTTTTGATTAAAAAAAAATTACCTGAAGTGAGATATCTCATTATGATTTTGACTTGTATTTTCCTGATGATTTGGGATGTTGAACATTTTTTTCATATACCTGTTAGCTATTTGTATGTCTTCTTTTGAGAAATGTCTATTCAGATCTTTTACTCATTTTAAAATTGGATTATTTGGGGTTTTTTGCTATTCAGTTGAGCTCCTGATATATTCTGATTATTAATCCCTTGTCAGACAAGTAGTTTGCAAATATTTTCTCTCATTCTATGGGTTGTCTCTTCACTTTGTTGACTGTTTCCTTTGCTATGCAGAAGCTTGTTAGCTTGATGTAATTCTGTTTGCCTATTTTTTCTTTGGTTGCCTGTACTTTTGTGATCTTACCGAAAAATCTTTGCCCAGATCAATGTCCTGAAACGTTTTCTTCTAGTAGTTTCATAGTTTCAGGTCTTAAATTTAAGCCTTTAATTCATCTTGAGTTGATTTTTATATGTGATAAGATATAGAAGTTAGTTTCATCCTTCTGCATATGATTATCCATTTTTCCCAGCACATTTTATTGAAGAGACTGTCCTTTCCCCATTGTGTGTCCTTGGTACTTTTTGTTGAAAACGAGTTGGCTCTAAATGTATGGTTTTATTTCTGGGTTCTTTGTGCTCGCTTCAGCAGCACATATATTTCTGGGTTCTGTATTCTGCGCCATTGGTCTATGTGTCTGTTTTTATGCCAGTACCCTTCTGTTTTGGTTACTATAGCTTTGTAATATATTTTGAAATCAAGTGGTATGATGTCTCCAGCTTTGTTCTTTTTGCTCAGAATTGGTTTGGCTGTTTTGAATCTTGAGTGGCTTCGTACAAATTTTAGGACTTTTTTTATTTCTGTAAAGAATGTCATTGGTATTTTGATAGGGATTGTATTGAATCTGTAGATCACTTTGGACAGTATGGACATTTTAATAATATTAATTATTCCACCATGAAATCTTAACTTTCATTCATCAGTGTTTTATAGTTTACTTATACATAGATTTTTTACTTCATTGGTTAAACTGATTCCTAGGTATTTTATACTCTTTGTAGCTATTATAAATGGGATTGGTGTCTTGATTTCTTTTTCAGATTGTTTGCTTTTAGCATATACAAATACACTGATTTTTGTATGGTGATTTTTTATCCTGCAACTTTACTGAATTCATTTACTACTTCTAACAGGTTTTTTTGTGGAATCTTTAGGTTCTAAGTAAAAGATCATGTCATCTGCAAATAAGGCTAATTTGACTTCTTCCTTTCCAATTTAGAAGCCTTTATTTCTTTCTCTTGCCTAATTGCTCTTGCTAGGACTTCCAGTATTATGTTAACTAAAAGTGGTGAAAGTGGACATCCTTGTCTTGTTCCAGATCTTAGAGGAAAGGGTTTCAATTTTCCCCTATTCAGTATAATGTTAACTATGGGTTTCTCATCTATGGCCCTTATTATTTAGAGATGTTTTTTTCTATACTCAGTTTGTTGAAGGTTTTTATCATAAACGGATGAATAATTTTATTGAATGTTTTTCCAGCATGTATTGGAATGATCATATGGTTTTTGTTCTTTGTTCTGTTAATGTGATGTATCACATTCATTGATTTGCATATGTTGAACCATCCTTGCATCCCTGGGATGAATTCCATTTGATCATAGTGATTTTTTTTTTTTTTTTTTTTTTTTTGAGACAGAACCTCACTTTATCACCCATACTGGAGTATAGTGGCATGATCATGGGTCACTGCAGCCTCAACCCCCCCAGGCTCAAATGATCCTCCTGCCTCAGCCTCCTGAGTAGCTGGGACTACAGGCACATGACTCCAAGCCCAGATAATATATTTTACTTTATGTTTGGTAGAGATAGTGTCTCACTATGTTACCCAGGCTGGTCTTTAACTCCTGTGCTCAAGCAGTCCTCCTGCCTTGGCCTCCCAATGTGCTGGGATTACAAGCATGAGCCAGCATGCATACCCAGCATGCATGATCTTTATATGTGTTGTTGAATTCAGTTTGATAGTATTTTGTTGAGGATTTTTGGGTTTGAGGTTTATTAGGGATGTTGGCCTGTTGTTTTCTTTTTTGTGTGTGGGTCCTTATCTGGTTTTGGTGTCAAGGGAATGGTGGCCTGTTAGAATGAGTTTGGAAGTAATCCCTCCTCTTTAATTTTTAAAAATAATTTGAGTAGAATTGGTATTAGTTATTCTTTAAATGTTTGGTAGAATTCAGCAGTGAATCCATTAGATCCTGGGCTTTTCTTTGATGGGATATTTTTTATTATGGCTTCACGCTTATTATTCATCATTGATTTGGTGAGGTTTTTAATTTCTTCAATCTTGGCGTGTTTTATGTGTCCAGGAATTTTTCCATTTCTTCTAGGTTTTCTGATTTGTTGGTGAATACTTGGTCACAATAGTCTCTAATGATTCCATGTATTTCTGTGGTCTCAGTTGTTACGTCTCCTTTTCATTTCTGATTTT